GACCAAACTTGAGGTACATGCTGAAAAATCAAAAAGTAGAAATTCAATGTAAAATTTTGTTCAATGATAAGTCTAGTGGATTTTAAAGTATCTTGAAAGTTTCAGTCGAAAAGGAGTTTTTTGTCGAGATATTAAATCTTCAAGTAAACTCGATTGCGATACCATGCGTGCAGAAAGCAATTAGTTCTTGGAAATCCGATATCTCAACAAAAAAAAGTTCTTTCACAATATTCTACAGGTCATGCGGCTTATATATGGACAAAATTTCATTTCGAAATTTTCCTTTTTTAATTTTTCGATGTGTGTCTAGATTTGAATCGAAAATTTAGTAAAACAATTATAAGTCAGTTTCAAAGATCCATATGGACGAACTCTTTTAGATTTTATTAAGCCCTTCTTGTAGGCCCAATATGAGCTCAAACAACCGATATTAGTCAGAATAATTCTCTCGTAAGGCATTTGTCTAAGTAAACAATGACAAGTTAAAATAATTTCTGACTATGAAAAAAAAAGACGACTAAGAACAATTTAGTTAAGAACATTTTCCTAGAGAACAATGCAAATAAGTTTCTAGACTGAAAATCAGTTTTTTTTTTGTTTTCGTATGTGTTCGATTTGTAATCATATATATATTTATTGCATTTTAGATTTATCGTCTCGATCAATATTGGGACTGGTTAAGTACATCATTCGTACCACATATTCGAGCTTCTAAATGGTATAATGGTGCACCACCAACTAATCTAACAGGTAAATAGATTACTGATATTATTTGATTAATATTTCTTTATCTCGTTTAGGTTATATCGATGATAAAACAAATCGTATTCTTGGTTGGGCAACAATGCGTCAATTACGTGTAAAACCTGGTATGTATTTAAATTCGTTGTTTTTTTTCATATGTCAATATTTTTAAATTAAATCTATTTTAGATTCGTGCACACCTGTCGCATCATTTCAAAATGTAAGTTCATCATGTGAAGCTGCATATAGTTTTCAAAATGAAGAACAACGTTCATTTAATCCTGGTTGGACATCAATTTATAATTCAACTATTGGTCATAGTGGAAATTATTCATTATCAATAATAAAAGCATTTCTGTATAATAAGAGTCAATCTCTTGACACATATCCATATGTTGGTGAACATGCAACATATCATGGTGGTGGTTATGTATATGAATTTCGTGGAAAAATGCATGAAATGTTAGCAAATATATCATTATTACAAAAATTATCATGGATTGATATGCAGACACGAGCAGTTATTATACAAATGAGTTTATATAATCCGAATGTAAATTTATTTATATCTGTTACTATTCTTGCGGAATTTTTACCAACAGGTGGAATTTATCCTTCAGCACGTGTTGAACCAATATCACTATTAAATGATTTGCAAGGTATGAATGATTATGATTAATAGAAAACAAAAATCATAAGATCCGAAAAATCTTTTTATTTTTCATTTAGGTTTTGCTTTATTTAAATTAATCTGTGCAATTCTTTATATGATATTTATAATCTATTATATGCAACGTGAAGCTCGTTCATTATTCAATCATCGTATGCAATATTTTCGTGATTTTTGGTCATATCCAGAAATTGGTATAATAACATGTTCATGGACTGGTTTATTTGTTTATTTATGGCGTATTCGTGAAGGTGATCGTATTAGTAAATTATTTAAAGAAACAAATGGTTATGCATATGTTAATTTACAATTAGCATCATATGTTAATGATTTATTAACATTTTTATTAGGTTTTTGTTGTTTCTTTGGTACAATTAAATTTCTGCGATTATTAAGATTTAATCATCGTATGTCAATGTTATCATCAACATTAGTTTATGCAGCTAAAGATTTAATATCATTTTCTTTCATGTTTTTAATTGTTTATTTGGGTTATTTGACATTATTTTTTCTTTTATTTCATGCAAAAATTTTGGCATGTTCAAATCCTTTAAGTACAGCACAAATGTTATTTGAAATGATGTTATTAAAATTTGATGTTTCGGATTTATATGCAGCTGATATATTTCTTGGACCATTTTGTTTTACATTATTCATAATATTTGTAGTTTTTATTTGTATGAATATGGTATGTATAACATAAACGAGATCAGTTTAGTTTTTCAAAATTTAAATCGAAGCTACGAAAAGATGAACAGAACAGAAAAAAAGAAGTTATTTAAGACTGCGCTAAGGATAATTAATACTACATAGTCTTTATCTCAATTCGTTCGTCTTATTTCATATCAGAGATAGGATCGGTGCACGTTTCTCAAAATTAAATCGTACCAAAACCGAAGTTAATTTAGGATACTGTGAACTGACCTGATTCTATGTCTGATGTGTAGAAAGAAAAAGAAAAAAAGAAATGAAAATAAAATTTGTTTGTTTTTAATTTCATTTTAGTTTATTTCGATTATATCGGATTCATTTCGAGTTGTTAGACACAATATTTCGTTACAAAGTAGTGAACATGAAATCGTTGATTTTATCTTTAATCAATTGAAGAAGTGGACAGGTAAAGACATGCATTGTTAAAGTATATGATTTCATTTCTTTTGCTATTTATTAATTATCTTTAGGTATTGGTAAAACCAGAGAAATGGATCGTCTGCATTTAAATCCATTTGATGGTACTCACGTTCATTATCATGATCCCATAACAACATTTCCTGATAAAATAGATGAACTATTAATTGCGTTGAATACAGTAAAAAGAATTGTTTTTCTTTTTGTTGTATTAATTTGATTTTTATATTTAATATTTATTAGATTTATATGGATACAAAACGTAATGATACATTAATGTTTCGTCCAATTGGTCATAATACATCAGAAATAGTTGAAAAAACAAATGCTATATCAGAAAACACTGATGAAAATTCCAAAAACTAAACTAAATATAAACTTTGATGTTTTTTATTGTCTGTATATGTGATTATTATTATTATTACTGTTGTAATTTTCGTATTGTGCATTAAACATTTTTATTTTTCTCATTGATGTTAAGTATTCTGTGAAAAGGCAAAGCTGTATGAACAGATGTGTATAAGAAGAAAAAATAATTAATAACTTATGAATTCTATCAAGCTGTATTTATTTCTTTTTTTGTTTTGGTAAATGTAAAAACCAATTTTAAATCGCCTAAACGAAAGAGAAGTCAAATTTATTTTTGAAATAGAAAACTCTCAGATCAACGAATACGGAGATTATATACGCCTGTCAACAACCGTATTTTACCGTTTCAAATGTCTCAGTATTACGATCGTATATCTTTATGATCGTATACAGATCAATATAATTATATACGGAGAAAAGCGGAGACCATGTGTATGTTTAGCTTCCGTATACAAAGAGAGTAGACGAGTGGTTTTTTTTTCTCCGTAAATCATCGTATTTCTCCATTATATGATCGTTATACTGAACTATGTGTTTATCATCGTATTCATCACTATACGATCGTTTACGATTGTGTCTGTTTGATTTAGGCTCTGTTAGATGCGTCTACCACACGTTGTCATCGATAGAAATAGTATAATGTGATAAAGGCAATCAACGAGTTTTTGTTATATTTATTGAAACTTATTCATATAGACGGAGATGATATAATACAAAATATAAATATTGATTTACATTTTCAAGAGAAATTTGCAAAAAAAAAAAAGATATAGGAATACTAATCTATAATGCAATCTTGACTTTTTGCATTGCGTAAGCTTTTAAATATTAGATATTTCTGATAAATCATAATATCTGATGCCTGTTTTTAATGAATGTATATTTTGTTGAAGTATTACAATTGTTATATCAATAGTAGAAACTTTTGATTAAGTAAGAATTTCTTTAGCTTATCATGATAATTGCATATGAATAGTTCATATAATTGATAATTATGAAAATTCAATTGTTACTGTAACATTTGAATTTCGTATGTGTATCTTAATTCTGAAGTATAGAAATTCTTCAAAATGATTATTCAATTAATTTTATTCATCATTACGATGATGATCGATTATATTTAAAGAGACTTTCTTTACACATTGTATTTATCGCATAGGAAAATGCCTCTTCGTGACATGCATAGACTAATCATCGTCGAATTTCTTCTTTTTTTTTTTTTACTGCAATTATCTACTTCTGAAAATACAATCAATATAAAAGAGCATAATTTTCTTCTTGAATAAAAATTAAGATCAGATAGAATTGTAGTAACTGATGATCAAAGTAATGAATAGCGGCTACTGTTATTACACAGCATCATAAAATAAAAGACATGATTGGAAAAAAAAGGTCAATTCTCGTCTAGTAATCAAACAGTTTGTGGAATAATTAAAAAAGAATTGTCTGTTTTTCACGTTGGTGCACGTTACCTCCTACTATTCTATTCAGTCAGATAGAACGAAAGAATTTTTTGATCCATTTAACATGACCGAGTGTCCTTTTTAAACGTTCTATTGACCGATGAACGGTAAAACATCTGTTACTTCTATGGCTAATTAACTATAGTTCAATGAATTCTACTATGTGCGACATCTATTCTTTTTTCTATTAGTTATTTCAATTATTTGAACTATAAAACGTAAAAATTTTTTATGAAAACATTATTTATTCGAAAACATCTTTTTTTTTTCTTCTCTTATAATATTTCTTTATAATTTATAATTATAATAAAAGATAACTGTTTATACTAATTAAGAAGGTTCAATTGTCTCCATTATGGCTATGGTTAATCTATTGTTTTTTTTTCTATGTCAAATAATCAGTTCATTATCTTTGAGCTTGTCTATCAACACCTATTAATTGAATCATTCAATATTTTTCCTAAATTACCGTTGCGTATATATTATTTCATATGAAACAAATACAGACATAACAATAGTCCCTAGAGAACCAAGAAAATAGAGCGGAAATATAATACATGGGATTAATAAAACTCTTCTTTTTTTGCAGATCATTTCTTCAGTCGTACAGTAGATTCTTCTTCATAATGTCGAATTTCTCTAAAGATCATCCATCAATTCGGTAAATAATTTCTTCATTGTTTTTTAAAATTATTTTAATCTTTTCTTTAGTGTCTTTGCACCACCGGGTGGTCGTAGTGCTAATATTTTTGGTGTACCTGAACCTGAAGCACCAATGCCAATAAAAAAAAATCATATGGAATCAGATATATTTGGCTGTAAAAAGGATAATACTGATTCTGTACCTGTCAAGTAAATCATTAAAAGAAAATATAAACTTAATTTTATTTTTAATTAAATAGACAAACACGTAATATAACAAATAATATATTTGGAAATCAACCTGAACAACCAGTTCAAAAATCGAATATCTATTCTGATAAAAATAAATCAACTATATTTGATGAAGCACCTCCTCAACAACCATCAAATAAACCTGATCGACAACGATCAAATATATTTGCTACAAATGAACCTGTACAATCAGCAGCAACACGTCCAGTTTCGGAAAAATATAAATCAAGTATATTTAGTAATGAAGATAATGATACACAAAATAAACGTCAACCAGGTACAAGACAAGGTTTACGAGGTAGGTTACAACAAACAAATAATTATCAAGATAGTTATCGACCATCTATTGCCATAAGTATTTATTCACCATTGAGATTAAAAGGTAGCATTTATATAAATAAAAGAATTAATCATATGCATTATGTTTCTATTCTGCATTTTATTTTTGTATATTATATAAATTTTATTTAGATCCAAATGCATCACGCAGTGAGTCTGCTATTATATATTTTTTGTGTTATACTTGTTTTTTTTTTTAAAACTTTGAACTAAAAAGAAAGAATCCATGAAAATATTTCGTTTCAATTCTAACTTTTCTCTTTTATAGTTCGTGCTTATCGCTTTTTGTGAATATTAAGAATAGAAAGAGATAGGTCCTGTTGGTATTTTCACCATTTATGTTAATCTATTTTCAACATTCAACACATAGAACAGTGTGTATCACTTACTAAATGATATAACTCGTTTTTTTTTATCTTCTAAAAAGAAAAAAATCAATATCAAATTTCAATGCATGATCCTTTTATTTAGACGTTTATCATTCGTCAAGCTTCAATCGTATTCGTGTAAATGCCTATTGCTTTGTTGTATTGTTGCCCATCTGTCACCTGCTTTTAAGATATAACAATATATATGAATTGAGATGTGAAATTAAAAAGAAATATTTAACTTCCATTTTTTTATTTTATCTTTAGCATTGATAATGAGTTAAAACAATTTTATAATTTAATGCTTCACTTGAGTTTTGCTTCGGAATGTGCTTCATTTTCTTCTCATCCACATATTATTTTCGTATTTTAATTGTCTTTTGTTTGTTCTAGTGGGTTATAATCCAATAAATGGTGAACCTTATTCAACTAAAGATGGTTTAAACTCTAAAGTTGAACAAACAGGAACGACAGAAAATGAAAAAGAATCAGATAATACAAGTAAAACATCTGAAGAACAAAATGGCGAACAAGTAGAAAACGGTAAACATAAATCGGATGAAAATGGCCATGCTGATGTATCTAATAATGGTACCGAAAACGGTAATGCTACCGAAAATGGTAATGTTGCTGAAAATGGTAATGCTGAAGCATCAAGCGATAAGCAAACCAATGGTCATTCTAATGGTATCAATGGACATACCACGACGAAAGTAAGACGAATATGCAGTAAACATTTTTATAATATGAGTACAGTGTTTTATTCAGATTTTCTCTTTCAGCGAAAGGGCCAATTTGGTCGTAGGAGAGTCGGTATCAATCGTTTTTGTTCCGGTCAGAAAAAAAAATTGATCCCTCTGTTCGATAATTCTGTTGTTAATGAGAAAAAGAATTAATTTTACTATGAAAATTGTAACAGCAAATATTTAAGTAATCGTCAATAATTTTCGCATAAAGTTTTAGAGCACATGATTCGTGAGAATGTGACATTTGGTGCAGGCTTTATACAACCATAAAAGATATCACTGCTAATGAAAAAATGTGGGTTTTGATCTTCGTAAAAGGTTTTCTAGTCGTAGTCTAAAGAAAACTAGCACTAATTTGCGTTATCTCTCCTAAATTATGTTCTGACTAGACTTTAGCGGTTCCAAAAATTACCTGAAACCGTGGTTCCGAGTAGTTAAAATGAGAAAGAAGTAGATTCGGTCCGGTTCTAGAGTCTAAGAAGTCAGTATCAGTTCGATTTCGGTTCCATTCTTTTTGGAACCGTCGAACTCTAGTTCTGATTCATAAGATTTATAAGATAGTTTGCTTAAAACCATAGAGTATTTTACTATAGATTCCAGTTCTGGTTCCGGAACTTTTTTCTTGTGTGCCCGCACATTTAGTCGCCGATCTTTCGTCTTCCATACTGAGTAAACACTGTATAAGTATCGTCAATGAAACAGGATACTGTTTGATTTGATGGTTGAATGATTACTGTTATAGGCTTCTGTCTGCATTCAGCTCATGTAGACATTTTTTCTAGTATCTAAAAGTATTTTTAATAAAAGAATCTGTTTGAATTCAAGATTATAGAATATGACTGTTCAATGATGATTTCTACACCGTTTACCCGTCTGAAATGATAAATGATGTGGATAATTTTGTGTCCTGAGAACAGTTTTGTAATTCATTCAATTTCTCTGAGTTTTTAAATAATAAAATTACATAAATTGATAGAGATAAATTTAATTGTTGATAACATATTATTTTACTTTTTTTTTTATTAATAGAATTCGCATACAAGTGTTCGTGTTGCTCATCCACCAGGTGGTCGATCAAATGGTCCACTTTGGTAAAGATCGTTTTCACAAATTAATTAATCGCCAAAAAAGAACAAATACTTTAATAATCGATGTTGTGTTGTGTATCAAACAGTTGTTTGGTTTTTTTTTCTATGTCATTATTCTTATTGCGTTATAATTTATAATATCTTATGGGTTTATCTGGTCTCTATCGTTTAATCTAACAGCATGCTTCAGATATATCAATTCACGGTGTTTTTTTTTTCTTTTCTCTCTTTTTTTTTCGTTTCATTGTCTCTTAGCGTGTGTTTGTGAATCAAATATTATCCATTTGTCTGTAGTAGAGAATGAATGTAGCAAAGAAAAATATTCATTTTCTTCTGTTGTGCGATGCTTCAATGATTTTTTTTCTTTTTTTTGTCGCCTTGACTTATTTACGTGTGCATTGAAATCATAAAACAAGCAAGGAAAAAAAACGAAAACAAATAACAAAACTTAATTGTGTAGGCTTTAAAAATGAATTCTTTCTCGTACTTTAGATATGATCGGTCAACGACGTTAAGAAAGAAAGATAGACGAATTTTTGCGTCCTATTTCTTATCGCCGGTGACGAATGTACAAACGATAGATTGAATATATAAGAATGTAAGTGTTTAGTTCTATTCATACACAAGAGGGTTCTAATAATTATATTGATAATCTAGCAAAATAAAAAAATAAAAACTATGATCTCAAACGGTGCATTAGATGGTGAAATGTATGGAGTTTCACCATTTCAACAAGTAAAAGAATATCTAAGATATGATCTTTTCTTTTTAATGAGGATTTCTTTTAGGGAAGAACATTCATGACACCACCACGTAATCCACCAGTTTATTATAATAATTCGAGTTATTCCCAACCATCTATGATGACACGTGATGGTACATTAAATAATTCTGGTAGTAGTGCTAATCCAAATAATGCTACTGGCTATTTATCTGATCTACATTCACATTCAGTACAAAGCAAATTTTCACATGTGAGAATTTAAAACAAAAAATAATTTCTTTTTTTTTCGTATCTTAATGAAAGAAACTCGATTGATGATAGAATATAAATTCAATTGATTGTCTCGGTATTGTTTTATCATTAAGCGTATTGTATTGTTTTTCTTGGTGGTGTGCGAAATGAAAAACAAACACATGTATATTGATAGAATGAATATCTGTAGAATGTTGCAATGCTTTTGCTTGGATTAGTAAATGAATTAATGAGTGCGCCAGAATAAATGTTTCTCGAAGTATTTTCTTAATATCACAGTGTCTTAATCGTTTTTTCTTTTTAAAAAGACTCACGATTCAATTTTCTGGAAGAATATATCACAAGTTTTGCTATAAAATGTTAAGCAAAAAAAAAGAATTAGATAAATAACACCCCAAGACTCTAATATGGCCAACGTTCACAAATAAAAAATAACCAATCTATTCATTGGAGTTATCTTGTAGCGTTTGAAAAGCTTGATCAACTTTCTTTGAATTTCAAGAGAAATGAATAGTACATCAAATTGAAATTCAAGAATTTGAATAGAACTCGTTATTCGGAGATATTTCACAAAACAAGAGAAACTTTATGTGTGTTTAATTCAATTTTAATAAAGTAATGTTTGCGTCAAGAAAACAAAACTTGATTGAAACGAACTTCAATGAATGTCATGAAAAAAGTGCACTTAGTTATACTTCTAAATGTACTCTGTCACGTTGTACTATTCGTACAAAAATAGAAAAAAAGAATGCTGAATTGTAATGAGAACAAAATACTTTTTGGAAATTGGGTATGTTGAAACTTCGCTGTATTATCTATTTAATATTTTTACTTAATATTTTATAGAAAGTTGAATCGTGAGTCTTTTTTTTGACAAAAGAAAAGATTAAGACATGGCAATACTGAGAATATAATTTGAAGGACATCCGTTCTGGCGTACTCGTTACGTTCAAAGTTTAAGAAAGAAAGTCTCAAATAATGAAATAATTTTATATAGGAAAATTTGACGTAAAAGCTTTCCTTTAGAGTAAAAAAACGTAATTAACACTTTGGCGGCGAGTGATACATATATACATCACAGTAATTTTATAGTATTAAGCGATATTAGTTTTCGCGAAAGCATCTGTCAGGTATTTTTTTGGTTGTAGTTATAAATTCTTTACTGAGATAATCAGCAATTCACAATACATATAACACAATTGACTCTTACGTGAAAATTTGCTAAACTCTAAAATCTGCATAGAAAACGTTTCTGTCTACAGAAGCATGTTAGGTAATGTTAAATGTGTTAGAAAATTCATTGAAGCTCATTGTTCTATGTTTTCCATCAGTAATTCGAAGTCATTCAGCTGGAGGTATCTTCCTCTGTAGATACAAAGAGATAAAGATGCCACTTCTGCAGTAATACCACAGCTGGCTCAAAAAAAAAAGAACTGATAGAAGATATGAGTGTGTTCGATGTAATGTTTGTTATTCTGTTGTACCTTATTTTGAATTGTAATACACTTGGCAAAAACTTTTAAACATTCATATTCATAAAACTTTTTAATAAAGTCGAATGACAGCTTCATCTACGATTAAAAATATAGAAAAAAGAAAGTTTAATTTTTTTCAAAAATCTCGCAATCAAAGGATTAATAAAATCATCTACTGACAATAAAAAAGAAAGAAAAGTGAATATTACAACCCGCGCATCGAATACCAGTATCTATACTTGGACACTTATATGACAATTAATAATTGTATGGTATTACTGAAATTGTATAATGAAAGCTTAAAGACAATTGCTAGTATTTTACATATCGGTGGATATACATTTCGAAGCGTTAATAAAGAGTCGACTATGAGAAGAATAAAAATCTGAATAATATGAAAACTATCATTGTATGTTTTTTTTCTGCACTTCTCATGTATTATAATTTAATTTTTAGGCTAACAGTATC